CCGCACCACGACCCTGATCCTCCAGCTCTATGACAGGACAGTGTGTGCTGCTTGGCTTTCAGAGCTGTTCTGATGGCACGGCTTGGGAAACGCCTGGATTTGGAGTGAGAAGGTGGCTGGGTTCTTGCTGACTACTGACTTTGGGGCTTTTAAAGCCTCAGTTTCCCCATTTCATTTTTTTAAAAATGACATATTGCTATTAATAACTTGTGAAAGTTTCCCCATTTGTAAGATGGAGATAGCTACACATTGCGAGGACAGGACATTGCGAGGACAGGAAGAAGCAGGGCATTTGAATGCATTTTAAAGGCGCCATTTAAATACAGGTTCTGTTACTTCCAGGCCTGCTGGGCACTGAGCAGCTGTGTGGCTTTGTGGGTGACCTACTCAGCCCGTGCCTCAGCTTCCCCAGTTGAAAGATACGGATAATTGTTCTTCTTAAGGTGATATGAAGGGGTACAGGTGGTGGCGTTCCAGGCCAACCTAGGACATGTGATGGGGAAGAGGACGTGTTGCAAAGGGCAGGTGGTAGGGCCTGTCTGGAGCTAGGTAGAGGGGTCAGCAGCTGGGAGAGTGCACTGGGGCCACATGGCTGTGCCCTCACTGCACACTCCGCACAGCAGGCTTCAGCAGGTGCTGGGGTTTGGGAGCCCCGAGAAGAGGCTGTTGAAATTGTCTACTTGGGCAGCACAGAGCTGGCTTGGGAAGTACGCGGTGCAGATGGGAAGGGGAAATCAGGTAGCAGTGTGGCCTCTGGAGAACTGTGGCACTGACGTGGGCTAAGCAGGAAGGCGGGTTCCGTTTGGGAGAACCTGGGTCCCAGCAGCCTGGGATGTGCTGTCTGGGGCTGCCCAGGGGCAGGGGGAGCATGGGAAGGCCCTTTATCTGGGCTCCATGGGACCCTGTGCTGTCACTGAGCACTTGCCATGTGTGAGGCCTGGGACCAGGCCTGGGTGTGGGAGAGTCCCACACGGCTCTTGCTTTCAAACAGCACACTGTTGGGGATCCTGCTTTTGCACCCCACTTCCTGCAGGCTTCTCGATGGTTCTCCTCATTGTGCAGACCATGCTCAGCCTCTGTGGTCTCAACAACAGTCACAGATGGACCTGGCTTTGGCCTTCTGCTTTTCGCTGGGTGTCCTGCACCCAGAGAAGCCCACCTAGTTTTGTTTATGTCGTTTTCTCTTTCCATCTCTTGCCTTTCTCCTCTCATTTTTCTTGTTGCTTCTCTGTCTTCTCCTTCAGTCATCACCTTTTGTTTTCATCTGAATTTCTCTGAGCTGAGGGTGGCCTTGCCCAAGTTGCCATTGTTGTATTCTACCAGGTGTCTCTGGTCTCACTTTCTATTTTCATTTCGCTTGAGCTGTAGTCACTGAGTGAGCCGAGGTCAAGCAGTGAAGCCGCTTCTGCATCTGAAATTTTAGGGGTAAACCAGAGGCCACCATCCGTTTCTGCTTTGAAGTCTCTGATTCTTTTTTAAAAAGCATTCCAAGTTTAGGCCGGGCGCAGTGGCCCATGCCTGTAACCCTAGCACTTTGGGAGGCCAGGGCCGGTGGATTGTCTGAGCTCAGGAGTTCATGATCAGCCTGAGTAACACGGTGAAACCCCATCTCTACTAAAATACAAAAAATTAGCCAGGTGTGGTGGTATGTGCCCATAATCCCGGCTAGTTGAGAGGCTAAGGTGCCAGAATTGACTGCCTGGGAGGCAGAGGTTGCAGTAAGCCAAGATTGAACCACTGCACTCCAGCCTGGGTGACAGAGCAAGACTCCTTGTCCAACAACAACAAAAAAAGCATTCCAAGTCTAGAATAATGTACTTGGGGCGATTTGCTTTCTTGTCGTGTTTTTTGGGAGTTTTTTGTCTGTTTTGTTTTGTAGAGACAAGGTCTCCCTGTGTGGCCCAGGCTGGTGTTGAACTCATGGACTTAAGCAGTCTTCCTGCCTCAGCCGTCCAAGTAGCTGGGACTACAGGTGTGTGCCACCACGCCTGGCAATCTGCTTTGTTTTTTGAGACAATCTCTGCCACCCAGGCTGGAGTACAGTGGCTCGATCTTGGCTCATTGCAACCTCTGCCTCCCGATTTCAAGTGATTCTTCTGTCTCAGCCTCCGGAGTAGCTGGGACTACAGGTGCACGCCACCACACGGGGCTAATTTTGTATATTTAGTAGAGACGGGGTTTCACCATATTGGCCAGGCTGATCTCAAATTCCTGACCTCGAGTGATCCACCGACCTCGGCCTCCCAAAGTAGCTGGGATTATAGGCGCCCACCACCATGCCCAGTTAATTTTTGTGTTTTTAGTAGAGACAGGGTTTCACCATGTTGTCCAGCCTTGTCTTGAACTCCCAACCTCAGGCCTGCCTTCTTTTCTGGATGTACATCTTGCTTTACTTTTCTTTACTGAGAATGTGTCATTTTTAAAACATTAGAAGGAAAGGGTGAGCACCTTGCACCTGCCTCGGGCTGCTGGGAGGTGGCCTGCTCCTCTGAGGAATGGGTGCTGTTTTACCAGCCTCGTCAGAGCTGCCTTTACTGTTGTGCCTTCTTTTCACTTCTTTGTGTGTGCCTTTGCCTCCTCTCTACCTCTGAGAACCCGTCCAGCTGAGACATTCCATTCTGTTAGCGTTTACTGTTTCACTCTCCTTGTCTTGGATCACCAGTGCTGTGATCCAGTAAGATTTAGCAAGACATCTGGATTATGGAATTTTAGGAAATTTGTGTCTGTTACTTTTTCAAATATACCTAATGTCAACATGGGCTAGCAAAAAAAAAACCTGATATGTAATGGCAGAGCTGGTTAGCAAGTTGTGGTCTTGGAAAAAGATAGTTTGGCGAGTGTTTCTTAGGAACCTGAAAATGGCTCTGCAAGCCTTTGTTGTGGGTGGTGCAGAGGTGGACAGGCAGCCCTTGCTGAAGTGACTCCACGTGAGGAATCCACGCTCCTGTACTGAAGAGTTCTGTTTCCAATGGTATCTGTACCTGTCCATCATCTGCGAAAGCCCCAGGTTCTGGGGAAGCACCAGGTTGATTAAGTCCAGGTTTGGTGAGAAATGAGCAGGGCCAGATAACATGTCAGGCGTTTAATTAACCTAGTTTGTAGCGCAGAGCGTTTGCATACCTGAGTTTTGTTTCTGTTGTCTGTGCAGGATGGGAATGGAGCACCCGGAAAGCTGGCTGGGCGGGACACACTTGGAACGCATTGTTTATTCCACGCCAGTGGGCTGTGAATACTGGACATTCAGGTGCAGCACCGTCTGGTAGCTCTCTCTGCAATGATGGCTGCATGTGGACATTGACTACCAGAAATGGGGCTGGCGTGACTGAGAGGCTGAGGTTTTTTTCTTTTTTAAGCTCTTTTTTTGTTGTTTTTATCCTGAGTTTCACTCTGTTGCCCAGGCTGGTGTGCAGTGCTTCGATCTCTGCTCACTGCAACCTCTGCCTCCAAATTTGAAGACAGACCACCACCGGGTGAGGCACTGAGCCTCTGGCCTGCATGTGGCTGCCCAGGCATGGCCCCCTTCTGGGTCGACCCAGAAGCGGATCTGGACGGAAGAGCCTGTGGTTATCTCATTAGGAAAGCATTTTTACAATAATCTACATTTGCTTGGCTTTTGCCTTTTTTTTTTTTTTTGTAGACAGGGTCTCGCTCTGCTATCCAGGCTGGAGCACAGTGGTGCAGTCCTGGTCTGCTGCAACCTCCACTAGCTGGGTTCAAGCAATTCTCCTGCCTCAGCCTCCCAAGTAGCTAGGACTACAGGCGCGCGCCACCACACTTGGCTAATTTTTTTTTTTTTTTTTTTTTGGAGACACAGTCTTGCTGTGGTCTCGATCTCTTGACCTTGTAATCCACCCACCTCAGCCTCCCACAGTGCTGGGATGACAGGCGTGAACTACTGCACCTGGCCACGCCTGGCTAATTTTTATATTTTTAGTGGAAATGGGGTTTCATCGTAATGGGGATGCTGGTCTCAAACTTTTGACCTCGAGTGATCCACCCACCTTAGCCTCCCAAAGTGCTGGGATTACAAGAGTGAGCCACCGCGCCCAGCCGGCGTTTGATTTTTAAACGTTTTTGTTTCAGAGTTTGAAGGTTCCCCAACTTTTTGTGGTCCTGCAGTTCCGTATAAAGAGAACCCTGGTTATCACAGGGATACCCTGCCAGTTCGCTCCCAGTGCGAGGAGGAGCTGAGACGGGTGGGAGGAGTGTGTCAGGCCAGGAAAAGTTTCCATCTGCGGTCTTTGGCTCCTGCCACACCTCTGCGCCTGGTCTCGGCGGAGCCTGGCCGGGGTTCTGAGTTCACAGCTGGGGATTGAAGCCTCCTTGGGGTCGTCTTGGGCTTTTCCCTCCTTGCCTGGTCTCAGAGGACTCGGCATGAGATTGGGGACTGATGTTGTAGTAGGATTTGCAAGGTTACCAGGTCATTCTGAGAACAGTACATTTTGTTGGTGGGCATTGATTGAGGATAAGGAGTTTTAAGACTAAAGATTCTTAGGCATTAAATGGTTCGTATTCTGAAGCACTGATTTAATCTAAAAGAAGGTGGTGTTTTACACGTTTAAATGTTTTCTTGAGCTTGAATCTCAACCTACTTTTTTGAAAAGATAGTAAGAATATTTCAACCAAAAACCTTATTTGCAAAAGAAACATGCACGAAATGTGACGTGAGGCTTCATTTTGCAGATGGAAGAGATCTCTGTCTCCACTGTGGACAGTGTGTCTTAAGCTGCAGTGTCGTGCTGGTACACAGTTTCACATAAAATCTTGCTCCTTTTCTAACTGTAAAAGCATTTGAGGGTCATTTGGCCAGGTAAAGATCCTGGCAGTCCTGAGCAGCCTCGCTGGCGCCATGGATCCTGGGTGCTGCCTGCCAGTGTCCTCAGTTGAGGAGTGTGGAGTGGGGCTTCAGGGCAGTGGGCCCTTCCCTCCCTCTGGCCCTCTGTCCTGCCCGGCCCGCCAGCTTTCGGGAACAGATCACTGTACGGTGCTTTCTCTCCAAGGAGCTGAAGCTGGTGGATCATCGTCTGGAAATGTGTCTGGGGTTGCCCCTGTGGCCCCTGCAGGGGGCTCGCGCTCCTCCTCCCGGAACTTAGGGTCTTCTGGTGGCGAGAAGGAAGAAGGCAAAAAGGTCCGGCGGCAGTGGGAGTCGTGGAGCACAGAGGACAAGAACACCTTCTTCGAGGGGCTGTATGAGGTGAGTAGGCTGTAGAGGCACGGCCAGGCAGCCTGGGCATCTCTCTCAGAGCCCTGCCCTCTGCTCCCCGTGCTTCCTCTGTGCTGTTAGATTCTAGAACACAGGTTCCTGGGGGACCCCTGCAGTGGCCGAGGCTGGTGTGGGCTCCAGGCCTTGCCCACTGACCTTGGCCATTTTATCTCCTCACTGAGATTTTAGAAGCTATTACTGGTGAGGTGTCTGTGGGGAGGTGTTTTTGTGTGTTTCCTTCATTTCCTTTTGGATATTCTCACCGCTTGTCTCTCAGAGATGTTCTTGACTGAAGGCCCTCTTGTCTCAGGGCCTTCCCTTTGTGCTGAGTGGGCTGATTTAGGAGGGATGGCCTCTGAGGGGGGCACAAGGGAGTGTTTGCCTCAGGGACCAGCGTAGCTGAGAAACCTCACGAGATGTTGCTGCTGACTTGAGACAAAATGGAAAGTCCTAAAAATAGAGAGAAGTCACTCTCTGACCCCACTACCCAGTGAATGCCCGTGCTCCCTGCTGGCCAGTTTCACCTGCATTATTGTTTTCTAAATCCTTGTAATTATTGTGAGCATACTTTTTAATTACCATTGCTTGCATTATTCATGGTGTTTCGTAGTTCTTTTGCTCTGTATTTTTTTTTTAACGCCTGTAAATGTTCTCCTTGCCTGTGTGCTCACTGTTTGCTTTTGTAAAAACATCGTGTTGGGGCACAGCCATGGCCAGGGTGGATGTACTGTCGGCAGCTGCTGCCACCGCAGTGCAGAGTTGAAGAGCTACGCTGGACAGGGTGGCGCTCGAGGCTCTGGCCAGCCACTGCTCCGCTTGGCCATTCCTGTGTGGTTAAGGACGACTGAGATCCTTCCAGATTGTGTTGTTGCGAGTGACTCTGTGGTAAACATCTGTGTGCACGTTTCATACTTTAGACTGCTGCTTTGGCATACAATATTAGAAGTAGGTGGCCGGGCGCGGTGGCTCAAGCCTGTAATCCCAGCACTTTGGGAGGCCGAGACGGGCGGATCACGAGGTCAGGAGATCGAGACCATCCTGGCTAACACGGTGAAACCCCGTCTCTACTAAAAAATACAAAAAAAACTAGCCGGGCGAGGTGGCGGGCGCCTGTAATCCCAGCTACTCGGGAGGCTGAGGCAGGAGAATGGCGTAAACCCGGGAGGCGGAGCTTGCAGTGAGCTGAGATCCGGCCACTGCACTCCAGCCTGGGCGACAGAGCGAGACTCCGTCTCAAAAAAAAAAAAAAAAAAAAAGAAGTAGGTTCGTGGTCAGTGAGCCTTGTCCTTTTTTTGGGGAGACGGAGTCTCACTCTGTTGCCCAGGCTGGAGTGCAGCGATATGATCTTGGCTCACTGCAACCTCCACCTCCTGGGTTCAACCAATTCTCCTGCCTCAGCCTCCTGAGTAACTGGGACTACAGGCACAGGCCACCATGCCCGCTAATTTTTTATATTTTAGTAGAGATGGGGTTTCACCTTGTTGCCCAGGCTGGTCTCGAACTCCTGGGCTTAGGCAGTCTGCCCACTTTGGCCTCCCAGGAGCCTTATTCTTTTAGTAGCTAATTAATTGAAGTGATGGAGAAGTCTTGTCAAGCCTGGGAAGCAGAATGCTCAAGAAAGAAATGGAGGCTCTGGAATGAGGTATTTAGAGAGGCATTAGAAAAGGAGACACCCATAAATGTGGGCGTGAGACTTGACTACGGTGCATTCCGTGGCCAGGGTCGCTCCCACCCTGGGCTTCAGGTTAGGTTCTGCCCACGCCAGGTGGACCCGACTGCCGTCACAGTGTGGCTTGACTCTGATTGTCCGAAGAGAAGTGTGCATGAGTCCCGTTTCAGTAGGTATGAAGTCATTTAAATACATTTGTGTGTTCCTTTTCTTTCCTTTGAGGATTCTAGAGTACAGCAAGGAGGCTGTTTTTGTATAGATTCTAGCCCCAAATCGTGCCTTTAAGCTGTTTGTTGGTCTTGGAGGACCTGCGATTCCTGGAATATTTTCAGAATCAGCAACCATTGCTGATTCTTGCCTGAAACAATTACTCCTGTGGCGTGGCCTTTCCTCCTTGGCAAAACTGTAGCCTCTGTAAGAAGGTCTGGGTGCCCGGGAGTAGGAGATGTGGTTGTCCATTAAAAGTAGCAGAGGAGGCCGGGCGCAGTGGCTCAACCCTGTAATCCCAGCACTTTGGGAGGCCGAGACGGGCGGATCACGAGGTCAGGAGATCGAGACCATCTTGGCTAACACGGTGAAACCCCGTCTCTACTAAAAAATACAAAAAAAAAAAAAACTAGCCGGGCAAGGTGGCGGGCGCCTGTAGTCCCAGCTACTCGGGAGGCTGAGGCAGGAGAATGGCGTAAACCCGGGAGGCGGAGCTTGCAGTGAGCCGAGATCCAGCCACTGCACTCCAGCCTAGGCGACAGAGCGAGACTCCGTCTCAAAAAAAAAAAAAAAAAAAAAAAAGTAGCAGAGGAGGAGTTCCTTGTTAATGACCCCCCTTTACCTTTATTCAAGCAGTTTAGTTCGTTTCCTTCCCATTGGGTTAAGGTGCCCATTAGAGTTTTTCTATCGGGCGGATGCTTTTTGAGGAGTTCTGAAGTCCTGAATTAGTAATAATAATAATTGGCTGTTCTGATCATGTAATGCTTTCTGCTATGGGTTCTCTGTATCTGAGTATGTATGTGAGAAAGAGCGAGGGCAAGAGAAAGGACCGTGTTTGTTTTTTGTTTTTTGTTTTTTTTGAGATGGAGTTTTGTTTTTGTTGCTCAGGCTGGAGTGCAGTGGCGTGATCTCGGCTCACTGCAACCTCTACCTCCCAAGTTAAAGAGATTCTCTTGCCTCAGCCTCCCGAGTAGCTGGGATCATAGGCACCTGCCACCACGCCCAGCTAATTTTCGTATTTTTAGTAGAGACCGAGTTTCACCATGTTGATCAGGCTGGTCTTGAACTCCTGACCTCAAGTGATCCGCCCACCCCAGCCTCCTAAAGTGCTAGGATTACAGGCATGAGCCACTGCATGTGGCCTAACACGTTTTATTTCTGCATTGTGAGTCTCATCAAAACAATGTGGGCCTCTGGTGGGGTCTTGATGTATGGCTGACTGGCCAGTGGCAGGTGTGACTGAACCCTGGAGCTGTGGGGTGACGGTGGCTGGGCACAGGCCTCTGCTCTGAGAAGTGCGGCTCCTGCCATGCTGTCATGGCCACTGCTGCCTTTTTGATGCCTCCCTGGGAGGGGTGCAGCTAGGCTGGCTGGGGCCCGACTGGATGCAGGGACCCCACGGCCCTCACTGGGCCTCAGTTGGTCACTCCTGATCATGGACTGAATTCTCTCCTGCTACAGCTGCTCCTCAGGCGAGAGTGGTGCCCCTACCCACCCTACTTTGGGCAGTGCTGGGCATGCTCAGATTGGCGCCTGTCCAGTTACAGCCCGTCCAGACTTCTCCCTGTGGCAGGGAGGGCATTCACCTGTGGCAGGGCACTGGCCTCCTTCCTCTGAATACCCTTCCATTTCTGTGGTAGGTCTGCACAGACCCAGCCCGGACTTCATTTCACGTTCTTGTTCCTGCTTATATCCGTCCATCGTCCGTGCTTGTTTTTGCCATACAGTTCTTGATTTCCTACCTGACAGCCACACAGCCAGCGTCCTGTGCTTCCTTCTCACCGTCTGCACAATGACTGCGGCCTCTGCTCTGGCCTCTGTGCTTCGTGGTGCTCCCCTTCTCTCTCCCCACCTACGCCTTCCCCGTCTGTGCACAGGCAGCCGGGGGCATCCTCAGCCTGTTACCATCTCCACAGCTCTGTGGACACTGCAGGTGTCTCTTCACCCCAGACAGCTTCCTCAGACTTTCAGCCCTGCCTGTCTTTTGTTCTCATTGCTGTTAGCATCTATGTATCTGATTCCTGACTCAGGACCGAGCAGTCTTGTCACACTGAGAGTAAGAAAAAGTCTGGTGGGGCTTGCTGCCTTGGAGACACACGGCAGGCGCAACACAGATGCCCTGGGACTTTAGGAGGCCACAGAGGTTAAGAACACACGAGCAGGAGGCCTGGAACCCGGGTTCTCAGGGAACCTCTGAGTAGACGACCCCGCAGTGACATGCAGAAGCCATCAAGTTGCTTCATCATGGTCCTCGCCGAGGCCCAGGGAGTGTGGGGAGGGCTGGGCCTGCCTGGACCCTGCGGGAAAGCCGTTCATGCTGCTTCGCCTCTTTATGTGTTACCTGCCATTCCTTTTGAAAACAATGAAGAAGTTTTACTTTTTCTGAAGTTTTTAGTTTTTCATTTCATTTTTGCACCCAGACTGAGGTGCCAGCCTTCCAGGCCCACCCTCCAGCCCACAGCAGCTTCTGTCTTCACCTCCTGCAGCCTGTGTTGCTGGGAGTTACAGATCCTAAAATGTGTCAATGTGTCCAGCACAGTGCCGCCTCCCCACTCCGGCCCCTCCAGCTCACCTCCCGCTCCCCCAGTTGCCAAGAGTCTTCTGAGATGGACAGGATTGGGGGCCAGCCCCCCCCAGTCCCCAGGTTCCCATTTCCCTGAGGATCCCAGTCCCCAGTTACTACCCCTTAATCAGCATTTTTTTTTTTTTTTTTTTTTAAATTAAAAAAAACATCTTTTTTTGAGAGTCAGTCTTGCTTTTTCACCTAGGCTGGAGTGCAGGGATGCCATGTTAGCTCACTACAACCTTGACCTCCTGGGCTCAAGCGATCCTCCCGCCTCGGTCTCCCAGGTAGCTAGGACCACAGGCATGTGCCACCATGCCTGGCTTAATTTTTAAGTTTCTTGTAGAGATGGGGTTTCACTATGTTGCCCAAACTGGTCTCAAACTGCTGGACTGAAGCAATTCTCTCGCCTCTGCCTCCCAAAGTGCTGGGATTACAGGCACAAGCCACTACCTGGCTCCCTTAACTTTTCATTTTGAAACATTTCAGACTTTTAAAAAGTTGCTAAAACAGCACAAAGCAGTTCCCTTCCACCCTGCCTCCACAGCGTTAGGGCAGCCGCAGTGAGGATATGAGCACAGACACGGCCCTCCCTGCTCCTTTGCAGGTGGGATTCTGATTAACTAGGGTCCCACTCAGGTCCAGCCTGGCCAGAATGCTGCCCCATACTCGGCTGCCCAAACTCCTCTGTCTCCTATAACCTGGGACAGCTCCTGGGTTTTTGTTTTTTGTTTGCATGTTTTTTTTGTCTTTGATGACCTCAACCCTTGTGGAGACTCACAGCGTGTTGGTTTGTAGAATGTCCCTTGTGTCAGTTTGGGTTGGTCTGCTGTTTCCTCATGATTCTGTGTTACACATTTCTATCAAGAATTCCACAACAGTGATACTGTGTCCTTCTTGGCGCATCCAGTTGGCGACCCATTGTGTTCTTTCTGTCTCTGTCCCAGTGGTGTTTGCCTTGGTCGCTGCCCTTAGGTGGCCTCCGCCAGGTCTCACCATGGCTGGGTCATGGCTTGGCTTTGAAGCTGTGTAAATACCGTGTTTCTCATCATTCTTTGCTCCCACTGATTTCAGCAGCCATCGCTGCCTTTTCCCCGAAGCAGTTGTTACTGTGGTGTTTGCTCATGGTGAGGACCTTCTGTTTCCTTTATTCTTTCTACGTTTGCTGACTGGGAGTTCTGTGCCAAGAAGAGCCCTGTCTTCTCCCCCACATGTGTAGTTACTCTGTTACCTGCACCCATATAGACTTGCAGATGTTGGCTTTCTTCTGGGGGTCATGATCCGTCATGCCATTGTTGACTTTCTCACTTCGTTGGTACCCCATTTGGCCACTGGGAGCCTCATGCTGGCTCCCGCGTCCTCTTCTCACGTCCCCATCGCCTACCAGTGTATTCTCACGTGCTGGTGCCGTCAGGCATTCCAGACTCAGTGGCTGCTCACTGCTGTGCAGTCGGCTGTTTCTCCTGGGAGCCCAGCTTCCCTTTGCAAAGTGGTATTTAGAAACCAAGGCCTGGGCGCTAAGGGTGCTGGTTGCTGCTGAGCCCTTCCAGTGCTTAGGAGCTTGGCTTTGATGAGATGATCAGAAACACGGTTTTCTATGGCAGTGCCTGAAGCAGCGCTGAGGTGAGGCTGTTCTGTGGAACACAAGTTCTTTTCTGAAAATCTAAGTCACACGCAGCTTTTGCACAGAAGTATTTAAAGAAGGGTTGGCCTCCAGGTATAATCAGTATATTCTGTGCGGGTCATTTAGTAAATGTTCATGTTTGCTGTCCTTGTTTGAATATGGAATATTTTTTGTCGGATTAAAGCAGTGAGGATGTTTCCGATATGTTCTTTAAGATGCCGTAACGACTACATTGCTTCTCTTCCAGAGCTTTTCTTCATGGAGGTGTCTCATTTCATGGTCGCTGAAGAACTCTAGCCATTAAGCCATTTGTCCAAGTGATGAGCTTTATGTTTCCCCTGTCTAGGGTGCTTGCCTCTTTGGTATCCCTGTGCTCTGATCCTTCTGTTCCTGGTCCCATTGCTCCTTTATCTTGGTTAAAACCTAAGGTTCTAGGGAATCGAAGTCGAAGTTCATACACAGATAAGAGCTGGGAAAGGCAGCTTGTTCGTCCACAGCCTGCCTCCTTTCTCCTTTCTTGGAACCTTGGAAAGGGTCCAGCTCGCACAGAAAGCTACATTGTTTTAACCCCTCTACATTTATCATGGAATTTATTTTCCAGCATGGGAAAGACTTCGAAGCGATTCAGAACAACATTGCGCTGAAGTACAAGAAGAAAGGCAAGCCAGCGAGCATGGTGAAGAACAAGGAGCAGGTCCGCCACTTCTACTACCGCACCTGGCACAAGATCACCAAGTACATCGACTTTGACCATGGTGAGTGCGTCGCGGGCCAGGCTCGGGGGTGCCCACAGGCAGGGCCAGCTTCTGCTCAGAGCACAGCTTCCAGCAAGCCGGCCGGACCTGCTTTCTGGCATTTTCTCACCAGCCACTCGGCCTGGGGCTCCTTGCCTTGCAGAGCTTTGACTGATCATGTGCCGTCTAAGTCAAACCAAGTTGTCAGCAAGTGGCATCCTGTGCTCCAGGGTTCTTACCACTGCTTTTCTGAGCTATGTTTTGTGGGTTTCCAGTGGCTCTGAGTGTGTGTGAGTTCTGGGTCCCTGGCTCACTTGAAGCCTGTGGTCTCCACTGCAAATGATAGCACCATGGTCTGGCGAGGGGCTTGGGCTGCAGGCACCGTGCCTGGCGCTGGTTTGCCTGGGGGATGGCCAGCCTCCCTAGGCCTCTCGCCCTCTATACTGGGACCCAGATCTGTGCAGGCCCTTCTTTAGTCATGGGACCAAGTCATCCCCAGGTACAATTCTGACTTCTGGCTCAGAGCACCCTTTGGCTACTGGTGGCTTCTCTGGATGACGTTCTGTCCATCACCATCTCTGTCCCCGGAAGGCTTAGCCGCCTCCTGCCTCTGCCTATCAGAACCACCTCTCCAGCAGCGTACCTGTGCTGGGCCCTGCTCTTCATTCCTGCAGCTTCACGCACAGCATGGTCCTTCCAGATGCACCCCCAGGACACCCCTCTGCCTTCTGACCCTTCTTTCAGATATCTCACGTTCTGACCCAGGGTACCTGGACTGTGGCCATGCTGCCACTCCTTATGCCCTTGCTTATGCCTCGTGGTGACCTAAAGTACTTGCCTTGGCCATTCCTGTGGTGTCCTCTGGGTGGGTTATGGCATCTTGACCATGGTGCATCAGCATTGCCCAGAGCTTTGGGAAGAGCCAGAACCCAGCTCCCCTGTGTGATTGGGTAGAGCCCTGAGGGCCGCAGACACCCCCTGCCCACCACACAACTTCTCCACTGAAGAACCTTCACTGGGAGGTTGTTGCTATTTCTGGAGATTCATGGAAACGGCTGTTGGTCTCTGCACGTTAGGGGCACCCCTTGATTCGGGTCTGCTGCTGATGTGGTTTTGTTTGTTTGCTTTTGTATCTGTGTGACCATTAACGTAAGATTTTCTGCTGACTTCACCTATTTATGGCACATCAATTCTGTTTTGTCCTATATTTGATGCCTGTGCTGGTCTTCTCACGTTCAGCTCACTTGTTGATTTGAAATCTCAGCACTGGTTGGATCCTGTCATCGAAGACTATTGTGATTAATGTCAGGTTGTGGTGAGTGGCCTCGTGCCTTCCAGAGTGGCACGCAGCACTGACTTCACTGTCGGCCTCTTCCTGTGTCGTCTGTCCTTTGCACTGTTCATTAGTGCCCTTTTGAAAAACAGGCCGGGCGTGGTGGCTCACGCCTGTAATCCCAGCACTTTGGGAGGCAGAGGCAGGCAGATCACGAGGTCAAGAGATCAAGACCGTCCTGGCCAACATGGTGAAACCCCATCTCTACTAAAAATACAAAAATTAGCCGGGCGTGGTGGTGCGCGCCTGTACTCCCAGCTACTTGGGAGACTGAGGCAGGAGAATTGCACCACTGCACTCCAGCCTGGCAACAGAGCAAGACTCCGTCGCAAAAAATAAAAGAAAGTCAGTCCATGAGAGCGGATCTGCCATCCTCTGTGGCTGGTCTTGAAAAGCTCTCCACGGGGAAGGTGGCCAGGAGCGGAGGGGACTGGGCAGCTATTTAGTAGACGAGGTATAGAGAGAGGGATGGGATTCCAGGAGCTTCAGTCCAGTGTGCTTTGCTTGAACCACCGGCAGGCAGGATGGGGAGCGTCTTGGAACCCTCAGGCTCCCGGCGTAGACTCATCTCCTCTTCTGAGGTTCAAATGCACATTCTACTTGCCAAGCCAAGCTTTCTCCCAAGTCAATTTCAGAAGGCAGTCAAAGCAAACATTTCTTTTCTAATTTTGTCACTGTTAAGCAACCTCCTAATCCTAAGGTTGTTTCTGTTAAACAACCTCCTAATCCTAAACTTCCTGGTGTGAGGAGGCCTCATTCCTCTTGGCCCTTCTCTCCGTCTAGGGTGAAGAGTAAATGCTCCCTCACACCTCTCTGGGGGTCACACCCAACGACACAGGTCCTTTCCCCTTCTCCGTGTGGGCCTCTGTGCTTCCCTCTCTCCCTGTCTCCCTTTCTTCCTGATCTGACACAGCAGGGTCCTGCAGCCTTGGTGTCTCCTTTTCGTGCATCTTTGGCTTGACCCCACATGATATGCCACCTTCTTGTTGAGCTCACTGTTCTCCCGAGTTCTCTGATGGCCCTGATTTTCTCTTCAGCAGGGCCGCCTGCCTCCGTGCCAGCGTGCAGCGGCATTGGGGCACCCGATGCTGACTTGCCCAGCTGGAGACCACCAGGACACTGTGAAGTGACTGGCCCCATGGACTGTCACATCAAGCAGAGTGGCATGCACATCAAACAGAGTGGCAACTTTTTCATGTTACATGTATTTTTAGCGTGCTTTGGAGTTTTGTTTTACTTTGTTTTTTTGAGCCAGAGTCTTGCTCTGTTGCCCAGGCTAGAGTGCAGTGGCACAATCTCAGCTCACTGCAACCTCTATCTCGCAGGTTCAAGTGATTCTCATGCCTCAGCCTCCCCAGTAGCTGGGATTACAGGTGCGCACCACCACCACACCCGGCTAATTTTATATTTTTTAGTAGAGATGAGGTTTCACTATGTTGCCAAGCTGGTCTTGAACTCCTGAGCTCAGGCATTCCACCTGCCTCTGCCTCCCAGAGTGCTAGGATTACAGGTGTGAGCCGCCGCGCCCGGCCTGTGCTTTGGAGTTTGGAAGAGCGCACTGCGCGCACTTTATCATGGGTTTGTCTGACTCGTCGGGTGGAGTAAGACGCAGAGTGGTGGCAAGTGAGGAGTGTGAAAGGAACTGACTCCACCCCCAGCTTGGGAGCCATGGCCTTGCGTGTGTGTTCATCGTATTAATCTCCTGTGGTTTCCATGCACATCTGCGGCTCCCTGCTGCTGTACATTGCTCGGTGGAGATTTTGTTTCACGAACTCAAAATGTGGATGAGGTGAGCTTGGTTCCTGTCCCTGAGTGTGGCACAAAACATGAGGTGCCACCTCGGAGGCCGTGGGGCCTGGCGGGGCATCAGGGACACTGCCAGAAGTCCTGCTTTGTCCCCGGTCTCACCTCCCCAGGGGTCCCGCGTCTGCACTGTCTTGCTCCTGGTGCTGCTTTCTTCTCTCGAGTTGTGGGTTTTTTTCTTTTTGTCATTTCAAATGGTGGACTTTTAAAAACATATTTTAGAAATGGGGATATTATTCACCCTTTTAAAGTGTACAACTTAGTGGTTCTTAATGCACTTAAAAGGTTATGCAGCCATCGCCACTCTCTAGTTGCAGAATATGTCCACTGCCCAGAAGGAAACCCTGTACCCTGGTGCTGGGAGCCCTCAGTTTACCTCCTGTCTCTATGGATCTTTCTACTCCGGACATTTCATAGAAATGGGATTACATGCTACATGTCCTTCTGTGCCTGGCTCCTTTCACTCAGCGTTGGGTTTCCCGGTTCGTTTGTGATGTAGCATGTGCCAGTCCTTTTTATGGCTGGATAATTTTCCACTGGGTGGATGGCCACATTTTGCTTGTCTACTGAATAGTGGATCTTAAAGCTTCTTGAGTCATGGGCTCCTTTAAGAAAGTCTGATGAGGCTGGCATGGTGGCTCACACCTGTGATCCCAGCATTTTGGGAGGCTGAGGCGGACGGATCACCTGAGATCAGGTGTTTGACGCCAGCCTGACTGACATGGTGAAACCCTGTCTCTACTAAAAATACAAACATTAGCAGGGTGTGGTGATGCATGCCTGTAATCCCAGCTACTTGGGAGGCTGAGGCAGGAGAAGGAGAATCCCTTGAACCCGGGAGGCGGAGGTTGCAGTGAGGGGAGATTACGTCACCACACTCCAGCTTGGGCAACAAGAACGAAACTCCATCTCAAAAAAAGAAAGAAAAAAGTCTGATGAGCCCTTAGGTCTTTCTCTCAGAAGAGCCTTTGAGAGCAGCTGGCCTGTACTTAGCAGTGTACCATGGTCCAGAATCCTCCTCGTATCTTGAAAGCCTGTTTCTCCATTTACCAGTCTTAGAGCCTTGAGAACAGGTCTCTGAGGAGAGAACTAGAGAGGATAATTGTGAGAGTAGAGGGGACAATGGCCTTCACCCCTGCTCTGTGAAGTGACCCCAAGGGGCCTGGACTGTGTTGTCACCTGGTTTCCCTAGCAGGATTAGGTCTGGTGTAATACAGTAACAAAATGCAAAATAGCAGTGGCCCAAATGCCTCAAGAATTGGCTGTCTTGTGGCAGAGACACCTAGAGGCTGGCGCCCAGGGCAGGCAGGACCCAGGTGCCTCCTGTTCTTGTGCTTGGCTGTTCTTGGTTACAGCTCCAGGCAGTGACTCTTGAGGAAAGAGGGGTGGGAAAAGGGAACCCTCCTGCCCAAATCAGGCTCTTCAAGCAGGCTTCTGGAAGTCTCCACTACTTCCAGTGGTGTAGCCACAACCAGCTGTCCTATCCCAGCCTGTTTGCCTCCCAAATAAAACAGCGGTCTTGGCCGGGCATGGTGGCTCATGCCTGTAATCCCAGCACTTTGGGAGGTTCAGGCAGGTGAATCATTTGAGGTCAGGAGTTCAAGACTAGCCTGGCCAATATGGTGAAACCTTGTCTCTACTAAAAATACAAAAATTAGCTAGGCCATAGTGGTGTGCACTTGTAATCTCAGCTACTTGGGAGGCTGAGGCAGGAAATCTCTTGAGCCTGGGAGGCAGAGGTTGCAGTGAGCCAAGATCGTGCCACTGCACTCCAGTCTGGGCGAGAGAGTGAGACCCTGTCTCCAAAAAAAGAAAAGAAAAAAACAAAAAACAAAAAAAACCACAGCCTCTTACTGAGGAAGGAGAATAGACGTCAGGCAGGGGTGAGCACTGTCCTTGGCTCCTCCTCCCGCCTGGGCCCGGGCTGTGTAGATCCACTGTCACGGGAGGGCACAGGTGAGGCAGGAAGGCAGCATCTAGGTTGCAGAGCCGCTGGCCTCACCTGTGTGCAGAGATGGATGACAGGTTTAGTGTTGGCCACATCCACTGCCTCCACGAGAACCAGCTGTTCTGGGTGTTGTGTTTTCTCCTCCAGGGGACCTTTCCTCTGCCTATTAGGGGTACATTTCTAACCCTCCACTTTGGTTTAACTTTTTTTTTTTTTTTTTTTTTTTTTGAGACGGAGTCTTGCTCTGTCGCCCGGGCTGGAGTGCAGTGGCCGGATCTCAGCTCACTGCAAGCTCCGCCTCCCGGGTTTACGCCATTCTCCTGCCTCAGCCTCCCGAGTAGCGGGGACTACAGGCGCCCGCCACCTTGGTTTAACTTTTTATTTTGAAAATTGCAAACACATGGCCGGGCGCGGTGGCTCAAGCCTGTAATCCCAGCACTTTGGGAGGCCGAGACGGGTGGATCACGAGGTCAGGAGATCGAGACCATCCTGGCTAACACGGTGAAACCCCGTCTCTACTAAAAACACAAAAAACTAGCCGGGCGAGGTGGCGGGCGCCTGTAGTCCTCGCTACTCGGGAGGCTGAGGCAGGAGAATGGCGTAAACCCGGGAGGCGGAGCTTGCAGTGAGCTGAGATCCGGCCACTGCACTCCAGCCCGGGCGACAGAGCAAGACTCCGTCTCAAAAAAAAAAAAAAAAAAAAGAAAATTGCAAACACAGCACCGTGTTCTATACACTCTGCCCAGTGTCCCCTGTGGTTGACAGCTTGCGTGACCAGGGTACAGGGAGCAGATCCAAAAAACCACGTGAGCCCGGCGTGGCTCCCACGCCCGAGTCAGGTAGCGCCTCCTGTTCCCTTCTCTAAAGCCACTTTCTCTTTTGTCTCTCAGTGTTCTCTCGAGGCCTGAAGAAGTCATCCCAGGAACTGTATGGCCTGATCTGCTATGGCGAGCTGCGCAAGAAGATCGGGGGCTGTGAGTACGCTGCCTGTGGGGTTGCCCACGGCTCGTCCTGTCCTTGTCACCTTCGGGCTCTAGTGCCCAGAGTTGCTTCTATTTTCCCTCTAACTTTTATCTTGAAAAAATGTTAATAGAAGAGGTGAAGAATATGATGGCGGCCATGCTCTTTGGCTTAGAAGGACCTGTTGCTGACATTGGCTACATTTGCTGTCTTCCTGGACCATGCACATCACACGTGCTCGCGTACACACATGTGTTCACACACTCTGCCTTCCACTCGACTATGTCACGCCACAGCCCAGAATACCTCCACCGGCTCACCTCAGAGCACATTTCTCCTGTGTAGCCTTGATGCCGTGGTCACACCTAGACTTTTAGCATTTACCAAACAGGAGCAGTCATCTTACCTAATTTTCTGCCCATATTCAGATTTTCTAAAACATCCCAAAATATCAGTCAGGGCTTCTGTCGAGGGCCGTTGCCCTGGATGTGACTGTGGAGTCTCCCTCGGTGTCTTTGACGTAGACCGGCCACACTGCCAGGGCTTCTGAGACATTGCGATGCGCCCAGGCCTTCCTCACTCAGGGCCTTGCTTGGATTTGTTCCAGTCGTCTCCTCAGGACCAGGTTCCCTTTAGACTTTTCTGACATGACCTCTAGGTAGGGACATGTAGCCTTACCAGGTGCTTGTGCCCAGTGTCCCTCAGCCCTGCTGCTTCTGCCTGACTTCACAGAAGAGAGTATGCCTGGGCTGTCCCGTGGGCACTGCAGGGGTGCACACCCACGGGGCTGCTTCACAGGTTCAGTGGGATACCGCACCACCACGCCAGCTGGCATGCCACAGCTCAAGGTGGGTGGTGGGGCTGAGAGGACAGATATGAAGTAGTCGCCCTGTCTGTGCCCGGCCTGCGCCACACTCTGACCCCTTGCTGTCCCTCCATGCCTTGCTGTGTCCTGCGGGGTGGCTGCTGCAATCTAGTGTGGCATTTGTGTGTGGGAGGCGCTGCCCTCCTGCACTTCCCCACTGGGTCTGTCCCCTGTGAATCCAGCCACTCCTCTTCCCTCCTCCAGCCTGCCTGTCCCAGCCTGCACCCATGTCCGTGGGCCTTGTGTCCCAGCTCCTCATGCCTGTTCCTGCTGCCTCTCATCTACCCTCTCTCAGCCTCGGGAAGCATCCCAGGCCCCAAGGAGTATACACCACAGCTCTCCCAGCTCTCATGTTCCCCAGAGAAAGGAAAACCCCGTCTTGACCACATCCACTCCTTGTTGCCTGGTCCTTTTGCACCACTACTTGTTCCTGGTTTCCGACCTAGAGCTTCTGAGAGGTGGCGGGTGTCCAGGTTCTTGGCATTTTGAGCAAAGAATTGGACAAAATGCACAAAGCAAGGAAAGAATGAAGCAACAAAAGCAGAGATGTATTGAAAACCAAAGTACACTCCACAGGGTGGGAGTGGGCCCTGATGTAGGGGCTCAAGGGCCCTTTTAGAGAAGTTTCTGAGTTTTAAATACCCTCTAGAGGTTTCCCATTGGCTTGCTCATTGTACACCCTATGTAAATGAAGTAGTGGCCCGCAATGGAGGCTTAAGTGAAGTTACAAAGGTTACACCCTATGCAAGCATCCTGATGGGTTGTGGAAAACAACCAATCAGAGACTAAACTGGTTACAAAGTTACACTTCTTTGCAAAGGAAGACTTGGCCCCAGTCTTGGGGAAGACTTTTCCCCCAGCTGAAAGCAAGCAATCAGGCTGCAGGGAAGGTACAAAGTTACACTCCTATGTAAATGTCTGGTTGCTTGCTGCTTTCTGCGACCAATCAGAGATACTTTCCATTTCCCATGTGCCATGCAGAAAGAAGGGGAAGGAATTGCAAAGGGAGTAGCGTCTGGTCCTTTTGTTACTTAGGTGTGAAAGTTGGGGTTTTCCTTTTGATTTAGTTGTAGGAAGTCAGCGTGAATTGGCCTTAGGTTTCCTGCCTCTAGACCCTATTCTCCTGCCTCATAAGGATGCTCACGTTTGATGAAAATAAATGACTCGATTGCTGAGTGAGGGGCACCCTGCTCACAGGCTTCCAACCCTTCATCCGGGAGCAGGCGAGGTGGGGCACGGTGACCCTGTGGCATGCCTTGCTTGGCCGGTTTCCTTGACCGGTTCCTTTCTTGGTGCCTCGCCTGGCGACGAGAGCCCTTTCCGGTGCTTTTCATTCCTTCCTGAAGTTCCGTTTCCATCTGGCTTTGTTTCCTTTCTTTCTGAAAAACATCCTTTATTTTTTTCCATGTGGTTGTGTCGGCTGTGAATTCTTAGTTGTTATTTATCTGAAAACTCTGTATTTCATCTTCATTCTTAAAAGATGTATTTGCCGGATAGAGAATTCTGATCTAACAGGTTCGTTCTTTCATCACATTTTTTTTTTTTTTGAGACGGAGGCTCCCTCTGTCGCCCAGGCTGGAGTGCAGTGGCCGGATCTCAGCTCACTGCAAGCTCCGCCTCCCGGGTTTAAGCCATTCTCCTGCCTCAGCCTCCCGAGTAGCTGGGACTACAGGCGCCCGCCACCTTGCCCAGCTAGTTTTTTGTACTTTTTTTTTAGTAGAGACGGGGGTTCACTGTGTTAGCCAGGTTGGTCTCGATCTCCTGACCTCGTGATCTGCCCGTCTTGACCTCCCAAAGTGCTGGGATTACAGGCTTGAGCTACCACGCCCGGCTCTTTCATCACATTGACGCCGTTGTCTGCTGCCTCTTGGCCTGTGCTGCTCTGATGAGAGGGCTCAGTAGTCATCTGTGTCCTCATTCCTCCGTGCCAGGTGCATTGTCTGTCTCTGGCTGCTTTGACAGTTTTGTCTATGGTTTTGGTTTTCAGCCTGGCCGTTTGTGGAGTTTTTTCCCCCAAAACATGCAGAAGAAGTCAAAGAATTTTACAATGAACACCCAAGTACCCACCACCTAGTTTCTCCCGTTAATGTACTACAGTTGCTTTCTTGCACATCTGGAAGATAGTGAAGGGTCCCAAGCAGGTCACAGGAAATGGGGCGTCTGCTCCAGGAAACTCAGAGGGTGTCGGAGTCTTCATTCTGTGGACTCTGGGTTCCCTGGGAGTTCCACACTGTGGGCCGGAGGGTCATCACCAGACACTGTCAGTACGAGCCCAGCAGGAAGTGTGTGCGGGCAGGTGTGGTGCCTGCAGGAAGCAGCTATCGAGCCGGGCACATAGGGATGAGTGGAAGGCCGGCGCTGGGGGCCCTAGGAGGGGGCTTTTGGGAGGACAGATCAGTGGGGCAGAGGCTGGATAGTGGGCTTGCCTGAGGAGGGGGCCAGGCCGGGGTGTGCTCGTCTTTCAGGTGAGCAGGGGGTGACCAGGGCAGCTGACTCGAATGTGTGACTTTGAGGGAGGGGCTGCAGCTACTGTAGGGCTTTTATTCCAGAGGAACTTTATATTTGGTAATGGAATTTGAGTCTATATTGAGCAGAATTATGTGGGAATCTTCAGTGGCTTTGCTCCTAACTACATCATGGTCTCATTTATTTATTTTTTGCATTTAAAGGTATGGATGACAAGAATGCAACAAAGCTGAATGAACTCATTCAGGTTGGGTAAGTCCCAGTTTCCCTGTGAAACATCAGTTCTCTGGGTGTTTTGTGTTTATCCTCTAAAATGCAGAAGCTGAAATGTTCTCAGTGAGGACCTTCTGAGTTAAAACCTCATAACCTGTCAGTTACGTGTTCAGTCCCAGCAAAAGGCACTCGGTCCAGGGAGCGATGACTGCGCCCGGAGCCTGTACCTGCCCCAGGGAGGGAAGGAAGTGCCCTCTCTGGCCTCCTCCTTCCTGAGAGTCTCTGGCTGGGCGTTGTGGTCTCGACGCAGCCCTCAGGGCCCTGCTTTTTGTGCTCCTTTTCCTCCACCTTTGTGTGTGCTGTGGGGCTGGACCCCAGCTTCTAGGGCCTCTTCTTTCCATTGCATTTTTGTTGTGTTCTGGGCCACTTCTGACAGCTTCCTTGCCTTCTCATGCCCCAGATGCTTCTGTCTCCGACTGGCTGCTCTCCTTCCCTCACACACCTGACTCCCGAGAGGGCACGTGCTCTCCTGGCCACACAAACACCCGGGCCCCTGATGGTCCAGTCGAATCTGCCCAGTTGCTGCTGTTGGGCTGCACTCCGAGGCAGGGACCTGCTACCCTACTCCACAGCCTGGGGGTTCCCAGCCCTACAGCTTGCGGGGGTCCCCACTCCACAGCCTGGAGGTCTCCACTCCTCAGCCTTGTGGGGGGTTCCCGTTCCACAGCCTGGGGGTTCCCAATGCACAGCCTGATAGGGTTCTGTGCATGTGCATTTCTCACCTGGTGTGGGTCCTCATGGGTGGCCATCCCGTCTTAGATCTGTCCCGCCCGCTGACCACACCAGAGCTGTCCCGGCAGCCTGGCTGGGTGCTCCCAGTTCACTGAACCCCACATATTGGGTCTGCACAACCGGCCCTGATCTTTGTGGGTGTGCCACCACACCCCAGAGCCCTGCCCTTGCAACCACTCCTGACGTCCTTACTTATCTCTCTTCCATCCATAGCACTTTACCTTTGGACCTCTGGTTGCTTTTCCCCTTGGCCCTTCTCCCCTAGGCTTGTGTCTGATGACCTGGGAGCCCTCCCTGGCCCAGTGGGAGCAGTGCCTGCTGGGCCAGCACAGGCCTTCCCTCCAGTCCCAGCACAGCAGGTGTTGGGCATGATTCCCAGGCTCTGTGTGAGCTGCTACCAGCCTGCAGCCAACGACTGTAACTGGGTGACCACAGTCACCAGGAAGTGCAGCTTGCCCCAACACTGAGCAGACTTCCCAGATTGGGTCTAGGGTATAGCCAGGGGCCACCGGCCATGGGGAGGGTGCTCACCACCTTGCCCAGGCACCCCTCCCAGCGTCAGAGCCCTGCTTCCTTCCCACTCTCGCTCCTGCTCTACCTCCGTCAGGCAGTATCTGGCTTAGCCTGAGCAGCACTGGGCACATTGGAGGAACTGTCTTCAGAAGGCCCAAGATCCAGGGCTTAGATAGTTTCTGATGTCACCTAACCAGTAGGCAAGGGGCTGTCCTGTGAGGGAAAACACTGCCCCAGGATCTGGACTTGGGGCAAATCTTACTTCACCTTTTATTTCATTTCCTCCATGATTCATGGAATGAAGCCAGAGTTCTGGGCTCTTTGTTTTATGCTTGAGGACAGTGCATGGGGTGGCCTGTCTGATGAGCATTCCTTTTGCCATAGCACAGATGTGCTGCTCAGCAGGGGCATGGTGGGCATCTGCAGCAACATCTGCAGGAGAACTTAAGAAATAGATTCCTTCTGATGACACAGGCACAGGCAGTTCCCAGGGCCCGGAGACACTTGACAAACAAATGCAGGTAGTAGCTTTGTTGAGGTCTTGGGCTTTTAACAAAAACCAAGGAAGGAAAAGAGAAGGAAATAGTTACAAAGGACATTCTAGGGACAACTGGGGGGCTTTGATTATGGGCTGTGTAGTTTCCTGAGTGATGACAGGGTTGTGGCTTGCAGGACTAGAGGTGCTCGCTAAAGTGTGCAGAGGGGAAGTGCCTTTTGGTATAAAGAACCCTCAGGTTGGACGGGTGTGGTGGCTCCTACCTGAAATCCCAGCACTTTGGGAGGCTGAGGCGGGTCGATCACAAGGTCAGGAGTTTGAAACCAGCATGACCAACATGGTGAAACTCCATCTCTGCTAAAAATACAAAAATTAGCTAGCCATGGTGGCAGACACCTGTAATCCCAGCTACTTGAGAGGCTGAGGCAGGAGAATCGGTTGAACCCAAGAGGCGGAGGTTGCAGTGAGCCAAGATTGCACCACTGCACTCCTGCCTGGGCAACAGAGGAGGACTCCGTCTGGCTGGGGGGAAAAAGGAAAAAAAAAACCCTCAGGTGGTTCTGCTGAGGGAGGGCAAGGAGCAGGCATGGGCCTGGGCTATGTCTGTCCTCAGTAGCATGTACAACAGCGCCCCTCCAGCCTCATCCTCCCGGACAGCAGGTGCGTGGACAGCGGCGTTGAAATGTGTCATGAGCTTACACAGCACGCTTGGTGCCATTTACAGTCACGCCATCTGCCACTCTGAGAACCAAATGAAGAGGGAGCCTGGCGTGGGTCCCCAGCTCCTCCAGGCCACGTGTTGGGCATGCTGGCCAGAAGGCGGTATGGCTGCGTGTCGGCTGTCATCTTCCGCTGTGCTCCCGCAGTGGAGGGGCCCTGAGATGACTTTGAGTGTGGGCCTGGGCGGTGGGCCTGTCAGCAGGATGGCAAGATTGATTGCCCTTTTTCTTACAGAAGCCAGTGTCAAGGGAGCCCACCTGGCTACCATTTTGTCTGGAAAAGACTGGGCAGGTGGCAAAAGAAAGGGTGAGCTCAGGTGTGGGCGCTGATGGAGAATTTGCCCGTGTAGCCAAGGATTTTGGCAAATGGCAGGTGAAGGCAGTGCTGACTCCTGGACGGAGTGCTGCGGGAGGCCCCAGCGAGAGTGGAAGCCTGCACTAAGGGACCTGGCCACGCTCACCTGGCTCTCTGGGCCACAGCCTCACCCATCGTGTTGTCATCCTCCAGAGAGGTGTGAGACACGGAGAAAAGTTTGGAACAGCGTGGTACCAGCAAGGAAACATTTCTGTCTGCACCCATAGAGAGAGCTGGGGCAGAAGGGCTGCTGAGTAGTGTGATCATTGGTTCTAGAAATGTCTGGGTACCTGTGTGTGCCTGGCACAAGAATGGGTGCTGGTTATGCAGTGGTGACAGCTGTGGTGTGGCAGCTGATGCAGGTCCATTGAGCAGGTCACCTTAGTGTGTGGTGTAGGCATGTACAGTAACTGGGGATGAAAGTTACCGTGAAATTGACGTGGCAGGTAGGTGCAGACATGGCAACAGGCGGGAAGGGAACCTGCCTAGGGCACCTAGGGAAGGCTTTTCCAAGGTGGTGGCCAAGGTCTTAAAGAAAGAAGCGAGCAGGGGCCACACACAGAGTTGGGGAATCACCTGGCCCAGGGAAAGGAAGGTGGGAAGGAGGAACTGGGTCATGGAAGCCTCAGGAGGGGAGGGGAGAGGAAGCATGCAGAGCTGAGGTTGGAGGGCTGGGCCAGCCCTGGCTGTGAGCACAGGAGGGATTCCAGTAGCTCCTACTGTCTCAGGAAGGTAGTGTAGAGTTTGCAGCAGGAGAGCCTCTCGTTCTGGGTAAAACTGCCTCTCGTTCCCTGTGGAGAAGAGATGGGGATGCTGTTAGAGGTGGTGTGGTGTGGTGTGTACATTGTTTTTCTTTCTTTCCTTTTTTTTTAATAGAGGCGGGATTTTGCCTCTATTCATTTAATTTAATTTTCCAATTCTAAAACCAAAAGAGCCCAGGCTGGTCTCAAACTCTTGGGCTCAAGTGACCCTCCCGTCTTGGCCTCCCAAAGCACTGATATTACAGGCATGATCCTCCGCACCTGACCCATTTTTTGCTTTAGTATTTAAACTTTTTTTCTTTTTGGTTTTTGTCATACAGTTCTGGAAGTTTGTTTTAAGACATTTTAGTTTTTGAGCAGTTTTAAGTTTACAGAAAAATTGTGTACAGAGCTACGCCCCTCCCCTGCCCCACACATGATTTCCCCTTTTATTAACACTGTGTTGGTTTATTTTGTTTTGTTTTATTTTGTTTGAAACGGAGTCTTGCTCTGTCACCCAGGCTGGAGTGCACTGGCGCGATCTCGGCTCACTGCATCCATCTGCCTCCCAGGTTCAAGCAATTCTCGTGCCTTAGCTTCCCCAGTAGCTGGGATTACAGGCACCCACCACCACGCCCGGCTAATTTTTTGTATTTTTAGTGGAGACGGGGTTTCACCATGTTGGCCAGGCTGGTCTTGAACTCTCGACCTCAGGTGATCCTCCCGCCTTGACCTCCCAAAGTGCTGGGATTACAGGTGTTATTAACAACTCTTTGCATTCGTGTGGTCCTTTTGTCACAATTCATGAGCCTTCCTTGACCCTTCTTCATCACCCAGAGTCCAACAGGCCCACTCAGCGTTGTGCCTTCTGTGGGTTTGGACAGACGGGTAATGACATGTGCCCACCCTTCCGGCATCACATGGGGGCAGTTCGCTGCCCTGAACATCCTGTGCTCTGCCTGTTGCTTCCTAGTGCCCCCAGCAGCCACTGGTCTCTCACTCTCTCTAGCTGTACCTTTCCCAAAGTGTCGTCGTCACATTGGAATCATCCTAGGCTTAGTCTTTGAAGATTGGCCTCTTCACTTACAGTCCTAGAAGTTTTCACAAATTCGTAGAGTTGCGTAGCTGCCAGCGCTGTCAAGATACGGAACACTGCCAGCAACCCCCAAGTCCCCTTCTGTCCCTCCCCCACACCTTGCCCCGGGCACCCTATGCGCCACTCTCCATTCCCTGTAATTTTGCCTTTTCCAGAAAGCCATCTAAAGGGAATCGTGGTGGGCAGCCTTCTGAGATGGGCGTCCCCACTCAGCAGTGTGCCCTTGAGGCTCTTGCGTGGTGACTTGTGGATCTGTTGCAGCTTGTGCTTTGACCTGCTGAGTCGTGTTCCACGGTGTCGACATGTCGCACTCTGTTATCCCTTCCGA